TTAATAAAATATTAAGTTAATAGTAGTAATTGTATAGAATTAAATTACCTTCAGAAATAAATAAAAAATAGTTAAAAATATAAATATTAAATGTGCAATAATCTGTGCAACGTATACGAACAACTAAAATTATTAGTTTATTCGCATTTGTTCACCTCTCTAAAATAATTTTAATTAAATAAAACCAGTTACATGGGTCGTAATATTAATATATTATCTCACTTCTATCACTAAATTCATATAATGGATCAGACACAAAGTGTAACATGAATCTCTTTTGACCAATTTGAATTTGAAAAGCTATATAGATGACATGTAGATGTAGATGAATTCTTATTACCTTTTAATTTCCAAAAATAAGTTTTTGTTTGCACGTAATCATATAGGTTGATTGGACTGCAATACTTTATCATCGAACAAAAAGTTACGAATAAAGGTAGCCTGTCTCATTCTTATCGTAGAAAATATTTTTTAAAGTTCAGGATCACTTAATAATTTGATTCTCTCTCCTAACATCAAATTTTTTTTTTTTGTTATTTTTTTTCTTTTCTAATTTTACTTTTTAATTCATATTAAGAGATTACTTAAAAAATGGTGATCCCAGACCATAATAAATAATCTCCATATCTTAAAGCATTGTATTTTTAAATTTAGTTGATTAAAAGTGGGATAAAAAAACTATAGGTAGTATAAACATCATAATTGAAGAGACAAGATAAATATTCGTGCATGGGAACATAATCAAGAAAAGATCAATCATGGTCCTGCAGTTATATGAAAAATAGTGGAAACCGATTGATAAAGATTGTTGTGGACCCTCCAGATCAGGTTACTTCCGTATTTAATCAAGTTATTCCATTACAAAGGTTGAAGAAAGTATCCCTGAAATTCGATAATAATGACCATTGGAGTAATTGTATACAGTGACGCACTCAGCCTAAAAATTTAGGTAGGGTTAAAAAATTTGACATATTAAATTATCAAAATATTTATCATAATTACATAAATTTATCAGGAAAATAATTTACTACGAATTCTAGCATAATTATCTTAATTATGTATCAAAGCAAATATATAAAATGTACTAATCTTTCCGACAAATATTTCAAACATAAGAATTTCTTTTTCCTCTCACAACATATGAAAATGCACAAATATAATAATTACATGTATAATAAGTATTGTCCTTCGTCTTCTCTTTTATTATCTTTATTCCTTAAATTTTCAATATCTCACATTAGAGAACATGCCCTTGTTTGCAACAGCCATAAGCACGATGAAAAGTTCTCATATTTGGGATTTTTTTTTTTTTTTTACAATTCTTTGTATGTGCAATAACCCAAAACACAATAGTTCAATGTACTTTCATATTCCATAACTATAGACCTATTATTTATAGGAAAAATGTTTCTACAGTTACTGCAGATAAGTTATCTGTATTTATTCTCAAAACGATGTCGTTTTGGTATTAAAATCTTAAAAAATTATAAATATAAAGACTATTATAACCCTAATAAATTAAAATTACAAAAATACCATGATTTCTGCCCCAAAATGATGTCGTATTAAGCTTACTGTAGAAAAAGCGAACCCATTATTTATTTGGTTTCATGATTGTTACTTTCAAGGGTTAAGTGTCTGTTCTTTTAGAAGACACAAATTGTGTCCTTTTAGTTTTTAAGACTATGTCCTACCGCTAAGACATAATTATAACATGAAAAGTTACTTTTTTCTCTCTCCACGTCAGTTGAAGTGACTGAGGAAAGAGGGAAAAAAAAGTAATTTTTCATATTATAACTATGTCTTACCGGTAAGATATAATGTCAAAAACTAAAAGGACATAAGGTTGTGTCCTTTAAAAGGATAAACCATTTTTCCTACTTTTAAATGGGATTATTTGGTTTAGTTGAGCCCAAATTTTGAAATAGGTCAACTAATCATTTTTGTAATTAAGTTTATAAGTCTTTCTTTTTTTGAAATAATAGGAATAAGAATAAATAACATAATTGATAAGAATAAAACAGGAAAAAAAAATATACAAGATAAAAAATAAAAAAAGGTGAAACACAAAAATAATCATATTGTACATGTTCTTTATTATTTGTTAATTTGCATTTAGATGATTTGTTGTTACTTTGTATTAAGTATTTAATTTTTTATTTAGGTGATGCCAAATTATAATTTTAATTTTGATTAATTATAATTAATTATATAATATATATATATATATATAATAAGTATAAAAAAAAGCAAGTGCCTTGGCACCTGCTGGCGTGGATGTGGCTACGCCACTGATTGTATGGTTGCAATTTGCAATTGATTCTTCATCTAAAGATGTCATGTTCAGTAACAGTGACCAGTCTACCACGTTTTTGGTAATTTTTTACCAATCTGCAACTTGAACAGTAAAATTTATTAGACTGTCACACATTGAAGTTTGCTATGATTGGTTGCAAATTTGGTAGCCAATGATATCTTGACATGTGATACATTTTCGTAAGAAAAACTGACTGCCACATGTCCAAGTTCGCTATGAATGGTAATCGATGATTTCGTAACACATAACACATTTTCGCAGAAAAAGCTGACTAAACAAAATTCACTACCAGGGTAGCAAACTTGGTGCGCTATGTGGCACAATCTTGTTATCCGATCAGAATTAATGTATCATTCATAATCAAAAAGAAAACAAAAGAAAAAGGTTATTTAATTAATGTATCAATCATCAATCACAATTAATCTACCAATCAAAATTAATTGTGATTGATACATTAATTGTGATTGATGATTGATACATTAATTGTTTGTGATACTATTGTTACAAATTCGAACAATACTATTCGCGTGGTAGATTAATAAAAAAATTGCCAAAGACATGACAGTCTGATCACTGTTCCACATGTTAATAACTTACGATCAAAATTCACCTGAGAGTTGGTACGTGGAAGCTAAGTGAAAATCAAATGGTGTAGCTCAATTGGTTTATGAGAGTTGAGTAGGTGGTGGAAGAACATGTATTCGATTTCCACGAATATCATTTTTAGAAGGAGTATAAAATCTTAATCTCTAATTTGTTCCGAACTTGAAATTAGTCTTATAATCAGCTTAAAAAATTAAGTTTTATAAGAATATCTGGGAATTCTACTTGTCTCGGATAATTAATTAGAGTTGGTATATAAAAAACAAATTCACCTTGGGAGTTGATAAATTCACTTGCACGATATCCTTATGCCATCATGTGACAAATTCCATTTTAACATGCTTCGTTGTCATTACGATATAGAACGTGAACTATACATGTGATCAATTGGGTCTGTCTGAATATTGAATAGGTACTAGTTCCTCTTGTTTTTTTAGTAAACTGGTACCAGTTCCTTTCACACGGCATGAGAACAATTTTAGTTTTACAGCAAACTCAAGCTCAATTTTGACAACACAAACTTAATATGAATAAAATAAAATAAAAATCAATTAGTTCCGCAAAAGAAAACCCAACATATCTTATCATATAATTAGAATAATAATAATAATAATAATAAATATAAATTAGATCTATGATAAATTATACTTTATACCCCTGTACTTTTAACATTTCTCAATTAATTTTCCAAAATATATTTTTTATTCATTTAACGTCTATTAACCCTAGTTCAACTTCAAACTGTTAATTAACCTATTACTTAAAGTTAACAATTATAATTAACCTTCAAAATATTATTGGACACAAATTATCTATATTTTTTTGGCCCAAAGTTCTTTATAAACAGAAAAGCCAATTGCTTCGTCATTTGGAGTAAGCATAAGGTGAGAAAAAAAATATGAATGACATATTATTTGACATTTACTTTTTAAAATTATTTTTATTAGTGGGTGAAATATCACATTAATCCAGCAAAATAAGTTACATTCACTCTTTTTTTGTGGTGAGTTAATTCACTCTTTATGAGATTTCATTCAATAATTAAAAAAAAAATTGAGTAATGTTTTATTAAAAAAATTCTAAAATAAAATCAATGGTCTGTGAAAGTGCAAGCTCTCCTTGCAAGTTGCAAGTGCGGAAGCAACTAGCAAGTATTGGAAGTCTCTTACTAATTTATTATTATTATATGTATAAATAATATTTTTATAATAATAATAGATTATTAATATTAATAGTTAGCCACTCCCTCATAAATACTTGTAATAATTGATCCTCTTATTATAATGCTTATAATTTTGATATTTTATTTTTACCTCGTCTTAAAAAATTCTGGGTTAGCACTGTACATGTCTTATTGGACCCCAGCCATATATATAAGAAAATAAAAGCTATGCTCTAATATTACTCCAATCTTGACGATTATTGCAACCAAGTCAAAGAGTTAAATTGAGTAACGAGAAAGCAATCTCGGAGAATGGCTGATATTATGGATACCATCTCAGCTTCTGAAGGATTAGAAGAACAAAAACAGGTATTAGAGGGCTGAAATTTAGAGGATCAAGTGTTAGTGGAAAAGCCATAGAGGAGGCTATGGGTGAAGAATATAATCCTTCTGGAGCATATGGTGAAAAAGGTTTGGGATGATTTGTGAGAGATTGAATTCAGTAATGAATAATGATGATGGGGAAACAGGACACCAACCACAATGTCTACCAGAAATGTTATTCTCGTGAGGCAGAGCGTTGTCGTTTGTCTGTGGTGTTGAGGTTGGCCAAATATATGGCCACCGATGATGTGATGACCTTTTCAGACTTATGCTCAAGATGTTTGGTTTGGGCATATCAACTTACCACAACCTACTAAGTGTAATAAAATAAAATTTCAAGTTACTCAAAATATTAAAATAAAAGAACATTAAGGTGTGACCCTTAAATATACAATTATGTCTTTTTCTAGAATATACAACACGATATTGATATATAACACTACTAAAAAAATTATCTTTCTTTAAAGCATTAATAACAACATCAAATTAAAAACCCACCTAAATGCTTACCCCACCCACAAACACATTCTCACACGTTTACCTAATTTTCAACTTCACTCTTTGATTTTTTTTTTTTCACTCTGATTACGCTAAGTGACGTCTTTGTTGCTAACAACAAAACTACACAGCAAGACCAAAATTTACATACAAGAAAATTCACTTTTTTTTTTTTAATATGTTCTGACAGTACACTTTTGCTTTGCACAGTTAAACCTATTCTTTAATGATTTTTAAATTTCGAAAGTAATAAAATCAGACGGTGACAAATCTTCGACCTAGTGTTTCAACTTCCTTCAAGGCATTCCCTTGTTGGCGTAGCGATTCACGAGCGCCAAAGCATTGCTTGTGAACTTCTTCACGTTCGAGACTCGATCGCATACATCCGTTTTCACCGAACCGTCCGGTACATCCTGGAATCCGTCCGTACACGTCTCCTCGTCGGTGAGCGCCGCGCTCATCCACGTCTGCACGTTGCTCATCTGGAACAGGAACGATCCGGCGCCTGTTCCGGCGGCTCCTATCTGCCGCATCTGCTTCAGTGAGCCGCGGATTTCGTCGACGGCGTCGTCCAGATTCGAGAAGCAGTCATGGAGAGCCAGGGCGGCGCGCGAGTTTCCGCCGTAGTCGGCCTCGCGAGTGAGGTTGGAAACGTAGGAGGCCGTGCGGTGAACCTTGGAGAGGCTCACGGATATGGCGACACGAGCCAACTGGCCAGGGTTCTGTTGGACTGCATTGGCGTACCGAGAGAGGGAAGTGTAGCACACGTCCGGGTAGAGCGTGGTGTTGCAACTGGTGCGGATGAAATCAGTGTCGCCGTCACCGCCGGTAGAACCTCCGTATTCTCCGGCAGTGGCCGTTGAGAATGCGGCTGCCAAGAAGAAGAGGGATAGGAGAAGATGGTGAGGCCGTTGGGTTCTCATTTTTTGGTTTGTTTCTTTTCTGTTACAACTTGTTTGTGACAGTGTGTGAGGGAGCGCAGTTTTTGTAGGCAACAGCTTGTGGTGAAATTACTTTATGCCCACTATCTTTGGGTATAATAACGAGAAAGCCATTGTTTGAATTTCTTTAATTACTAGTTATTTCAAAAATAATAAGCAATATACCAAGAAAATCCGCATTATTGTTAGATGATTTAGTTCTTTAAACATCTTTACAGGAGTTTTATTTTTCATGTGTATAGAAAATATTTTGTGGGTAGAGGCAGAATTAGTTTTCGATTATCGGCCAGAAAATATTTTGAAAAAACTTAATTTTTAAACTCATAAATTTTCTTAGTCGTTACTTTCAATTTTTAAACTCATAAATTTTCTTAGTCGTTACTTTCATCTTTTAATATATTATGCATGATTAAAGGGAGGTTTTTTAGGTATTTTAATTTTTTAGTATGTATTTTATTCTTTTTACTAATTACATAATCAAGAAAAATCGAAGTTACTGGAAGAGGGTTAATAAAGATAGATTTAAGTAATTGTTATACTATTGTTATATAGGCTAGTCTTGCCTTTGTAGAGAGAGAGAGAGTCATTGGTATTTTTTTATTAATTTTTTTCTTTTTATTTGAGCCCCTGGCCCTTTTATTTACCGAAAAAGAAGAAGAAGATGTATTTAAGTAATTTACAAAGGCCATGAATTCTAATTTAAATGTCAGTTTGTCACTATTGTTAATTTTTTTTTCATTTATTAGTTTTTCAATAACCCTCTTTACATCCATTGATGAATTGTTAATTTAATGAACTAAAAGAAAAGTACTATTTGAATTTGGAGGCTTAAATGATTTCACAGGCATCTCCAGCATTTAAAGAAGGTCATTCATGATTTATACATGGTACTGACATTGAATTGCGATGCTTGGAAAGTTTGAGGAAAAAAACTTGTTCGAATGGTTGATTAAGAAAGAAAGGCTAAAATTAATTTGAAATTTTTATTACTCTGTTTTTGTTTGTTGTTGAAATGGTTTTTGATGCAAAAATAGCTGCACAACATTTTGTTTTATTCGTTTATTTTTGTGAGGCTAGGATGTAATGTACGAGTAGGACTTGTAAAAGAGTTATTAAAAGAATCAAGCGTGGATGAGGTAAACATTAGTATGAAAACAACTTGAACCGGCGAAGACTAGAGTTTTCTTGTTTAGGAAAGCATGCAAAAAGCAACTAGACTTCCTTAATACATGGAAATATAAGTGGCCATGAGTGTTATTGTTCTATTATGGAAATAGAGATATTTGATCAGAGATGAAACGAGTTTATTTTGGATTTTATAGTTTTATAGAATATTTATGGAGAAGATATCTTTAAGAGTAAACAAGTTAATGTGCAGAAGAGAATAACAGCTTAGACAAATGGATGATAGAATAAGTATCATACCTGTAAGTTTTATCTCTTAATTATAAAATTTAACTGTAGGTGATTGAATATTGGATCTTTAATGGATTTTTGGGTCCTAACATTGGATCCACTGTAGTATTAAAAAGAGATTTTTTTATTTTTATTTTTTTATATCAGGAGGATTTTTTTTATTTCCTTTAATTTTCTCGTAGTTGTAATCTCTTGAGATTTTTAGGACGTGGGTCTCTATACTGGCCCATAACAGTTATGATATTACAATTTCATCTCCTAATGTTGCTGTGAAGAAATACGTTCATTATTTCAAGAGAGTCATGGTGGAAGATTTTCTTTTCTCCCCGAAAATGCTAATTATTTAACTTGGAATTTGCCTATAATTTTTCTATTAAGGTAATAAAGACCTAAAATAAATAAATAGATTTAAGTAATCTTTTTTTGTAAACATGTGATCCTTTTAGTTCATTTTTGAATATATTCACATGCAGGTCCCAAATAAAACTATCTTTCTTTATTTGAATTAATTAAGGGTTATTTCACTAACTTCCAAAGACGCTAGAAACAAAATGATGGCAAGCATGTGTTAGTAATAATAGAAGGGAAGTTGATGGGCATGGGGACGCTACTTTTATAATAATAAATAAAAATAATAATTTAGGTGACAACGAGAGGAAGCGACGGATACAGCAGAACCTCTGTCCTATCGGTTCTAATATGCAGTAATCTTTGTTCTATCACTTTAACTGCATAATGATATTTTAGTATAAATGTTTTTTTTTTCTTACAATATTTTTCCATTTAGTTAATATTACTTTTACAAAATTATTCTTATTATGATTTAATCCCCTATCCTTGCCAATGGCGTGCCCATTGCCCACTTCAGTTTTGCGGCTAGTGCAGAATCGTATTAATCACCATCAATTTGGAGTCCATCACGAAATCGAAATGGCTGGTTTTATTTTTGTTATATCATATATGATTAATCTTCTCTCTTACTTTCATAACGAATGATGAAATCCACTTTATTTTTTAAAAAGAAAAAAAATGGAAATCAAAATGAAAGTATAAATTTTTTCTTATATGACATAAGAAAAATAAAATCTAGCCAAACATTCATGTTATAAAATTTCAGATACTCCAGATTTTCAAAAAAAAATAAAAAAATTCAGATATTCCTTGATCATGATTCGGTACTGAAATCTGACTATATCTTTTTAATGCAACATTCGAGTAGCGTTGCTCATTGTAACGAATAGGCATGAATGGAATCCTAATGTGGTGAATTGTAGTTGTCTAGTTGAGGTATTTTTATTGTGACGGCGTCCACTAAAACACCGTCAATGGGCAACAACCTAACAAAGCAACAATCCTTTTGGGTTATATGTGAACATGATATTGGTATTAATATATGGGAAAGATGCGTGTTGTTTTAAATGATATAAACATAGGTCCTTTTAAGAGAGTGATAGACACAAAAAGATGAGACTTACATTTTTATTTTATTTTTTTCAGTGAAACTTATACCTCTTTGTGTCTATCTCTCTTTTGAAAATATTTTAGGTATCATTTAAAAGGACCCACATTTCTCTCTTAATATATATATATATATATATATATATATATATATATATATATATATATATATATGAAATATGTTATTCTACCTACTCTTATTTTGCTTACATTTGCCTACCTCTTTCAACACCGTTAGATTTCAATCTCATCCAACGGTGGATATTTTTAAAATAAAATAAATTTTTCCCTCTTTCTTTCTCCTCACTTTCTCCCGCATCCTTTCTCTCAAGACAAAAAATTTAGGGAACGAAAAACACATACCATCAACAATCATCATTTGAAAAACCTCACTTCCTCCAAAACCTAAAATATCTCATTGTCCAAAACTCAATTTTTCCCAAAAGTCAAAACATATTACGAACGAAAAAATTTCTGGGAATGTTATCAAAAAAAAAAATAATAATAAAATTTCTGGGAATTTCACATAGAACCATACAAGTAACAAAAGAGTCATATGAAACAAACCCATTACTTTTGTTGTTGGATTGTATGAGAAATTTTTAAAAGATTATTTAATAAAAGATTACTTTTCACAATAAAGGTGTTTCTGTAATTTTTGGTAAATTAATGAAGAGTATTTCAGTAAAATATATGTTATAAAAAAAAAAGTACGAAAACATCCTTCATTAGTTCATCTAAAATTACAGAAACACCATTCATTAATCAAAACGACGTAATTTTTGGGTAGCTGTAGATAACCTTATCTAAAGTGGCTGTATTTACCCTATATATATATATATATATATATATATATATATATATATATATAGGTAGTATACAATGACACCGGTGTCAAATTTAAAGTTTGACACATCATCTGAGAGCTGTTAGATAAAAAAGGATCAATGGTATCACATGCTTATAAATCAGAGTCGTTGATCTTTTTTTATCTAACGGCTCTCCGATGAGGTGTCAAACTTCAAATTTGACACCGGTGTCAAAGGAACTTTACTGTTATATATATGAGGTAGGATCCTTTGACACCGGTGTCAAATTTGAAGTTTGACACCTTATCTGAGAGCCGTTAGATCAAAAAAGATCAACGACTCTGATTTGTAAGCATGTGATACCATTGATCTTTTATGATCCAACGGCTCTCAGATGAGGTGTCAAACTTCAAATTTGACATTCGTGTCAAAGGATCCTACCTTATATATATATATATATATATATATATATATATATATATATAAGGGCATTATATTCTTACACCGGTGTAAGAGTTAAAAGTTTTACACTCAATATTTTGACCATTGATCCACTTGTATCCAATGGCTCACATTATTAAAAAATTTGATCCCTTAGATATAAATGAGATCAACAGACAAGATTAAGAGTGTAATTTACATTGGTGTAAAATGATTCTGAACCATATATATATAGGAAAAGTATTTCTACAGCCACTTTAGGTAAGGTTATCTACAACCACCATTTTTAACTATGTTCTCCCGGGAGAACATAGTTATAACATTAAAGTTGCTTTTTTCTCTCTCTCCACGTTAGCAAACAGGTTTTGAAAAGTAACTGAGAGAGAGAAAAAAAACAACTTTACTGTTATTACTATATTTTTCCGAGATAACATAATTAAAAATAGTGACTGTAGATAACCTTATCTAAAGTGGTTACAGAAATGTTTATCATATATATATATATATATATATATATGGTTTTCGTTTTATCCTTTAACATAACACAACAAACTTTCCTACACTCACAATATTTTGTGGGGCCCACACTTTTTAAAACAAAAAAATAAATAAAAAATTAAGGCACGCAAAACGAATCTCTATAACATTACATAATCACTTTTCCTACAACATAACTCTTATAAAACCCATATATATATATATATATATATATATATATATATATATATATGATGTTTCTTCACACTTGCCCATATATATATAATGTTTCTTCACACTTGCCCACTATGGCCATGCGTGAAACTTTTGTTCCAACTTTTTTAACAATAGTGCCTTTGCCTTCCTTTCGATCCCTTCCACACATACCCATTCAAGCACCATC